CAAAAAAAAAAAAAAAGAACAGAACCAAACCCTGCAAATTGTCCTCTGACTTCCACGTGTTCATTGTGGTACACACCCACACAATAAATGAAAGTAATTAAAAAGCACTTAAACAGGGAGTCTAATACTCATAGACCTTAGGCATGCAGTGAACTCTGTGTGTTCCTTTCTTTATAAAAACAAAACAACAATAAAAAGCCATGGGCCAGTGAGTGAACTCAGTAGGTAAAGGGGTCTGCTGCCCAGCCGGATGACCTGCATTCGATCCTCCAGACCCACACCAGGGAAGGAGGGAACTGACTCCTGAAAGATCTCTTCTGACTCCCACACCATACACAGAAAATAATTTGAAGTGTAACTTACAATAAATAGTTGAATGTGGTGGTGATAATTCCATCACTTGAGAGGCAGAGGCAAGAGAATACGAGCACCCTTAGCCATGCAGTGAATTCAAAGTAAGCTTAGGTTGCTGGGGAAGTGGTGGCACACGCCTTTGATCCCAGCACTCGGGAGGCAGAGGGCAGGTGGATCTCTCTGAGTTTGAGGCCAGCCTGGTCTACAGAGTGAGTTCCAAGACAGGCAGGGCTGCACAGTGAAACTCTATAAATAAATAAATAAATAAATAAATAAATAAATAAATAAATATTTTTTTGGAAAAAAAAAATGGAAAGAAAAAAGCAAGCCTGGGCTAAGAGACCTTTTCTAAACAAATAAGTAATAAAGTAGATAAATAATTGGCCAGTGGTGGCGCACGCCTTTAATCCCAGCACTCAGGAAGCAGAGCCAAGTGGATCTCTGTGAGTTCGAGGCCAGCCTGGGCTACCAAGTGAGTTCCAGGAAAGGTGCAAAGCTACACAAAGAAACCTTGTCTCCAAAAACAAAAAAAAAAAAATGAATATATTCTTTTAAATTAACAAAAGCATATCCATGGAGCCAGACAGTTTGGGGTCTAAAAACGTACCTCAGTTGGTCGAGTGCTTGTGCAACATGTGCAAAGCTCTGGTTTGATCCCCAGCACCACATACACTAGGTGTGACTGTTCTGTCATCCCAGCACTTAGATGATAGCAGCAGGAGGATCAGAAGTTTAAGTCAAGTCATCCTCTGCCTCAGAATCAGAAGTTCAAGGTCATCTTCTGCCTCATAGCCAATTGGCAGTCACCCTGAGATACCTGAAGCCAGTCTCAAAACCAAAGTTAAAAAAAAAAAAAGCACGGTCCCAGCAGTGTGGCCACAGGGCCTGTAGTTGTAACACTCAGTAGGCTGAGTGGGAAGTGCATTTGAACTCCGGGTGTGACACCAGCTTGGGCAAACAGCCAGACTCCATCTGAACGACAGACAAGCTGAATTTGTCCATGTTACAGCTGTAAGGGCACCTCAAGAAAGTTATATACATTGAGCCCCAAATTACATTTTTGGTTTGGTTTGGTTTTTCAAGACAGAGTTTATCTGTGAAACAATCCTGGCTGTCCTGGATCTCACTCTGTAGACCAGGCTGGCCTCGAACTCACAGAGATCTGCCTGCCTCTGACTCTCGAGTGCTGGGATCAAAGGTGTGCACCACCACTGCCTGGTCCCAAGTTACTTTTTTACAACTATAGTAAGCCACAGGAACCTTGGGCTGGTAGGATGGCTCAGCGTCAAGCCTAATGACCTGAAACCGACCCCTAGAATCAAGAGTAAAGGAGAGACTCTGCCCTTCTGTCCATAAAACATACAAATAAATGTAAATAAAAGTTTTTAGTGACTTGCAACTATTTTCACCATTTAAACAGTTCAGTGATATTGAACACACGTGCAATGTTGTGCAATCATTAGCACCATCTGGTCCCCAAAGATTTTCATTGCCCTCCACAAGAAGCCCACACCTGTTAAGACTCTCTGCCCCCTTAGGGTCTCACCCTCGTCCCTGGGAACCACCAATCTGCTTCTGTGAATTACCAATGTCTGGAAAGTCCAGGAAGCCCGTCCTGTGTGTTCTTTCTGGCTTTTCTCTCTTACCATGCTTACAAGAGTCATCTGTCTTGTAGCCTGAACTAGAGTTTTCTTTTTTATGTGCATGGATATATTGTCGTGTACAGGCACCTCACATTTGGGGGGTCCACACACCTGTTGATAGTAAATTGTTTTCACTTTGTACCTATTGTGACTAAGCTTGCAGGGACGTCCCTGTACAAGATTTTGTTTGACTGCCTGTCTTCAATTCTTTGGTGCATATAACCTACACGCTGAGTCATGGAAATTCTAGGTTTGACTTATTAGGTGCCCCCTCAGATTCCGTTCTGAAGCGGAGACGATGGCAGCAATTGGGGGCATGATTTTAGCTAATATATAAAAGACAGTTGGACAGTAACTGACACACCACACAGTAGACATCCCATCATCATTCATTATTATTGGTAATGGATGGGTATGTAGGTGTGTAGATGGGTGGATGGATGGATAGATGGATGGGTGGGGAGAGGGAGGGAGGGAGGAAGGGAGGGAGGGAGGGATAGAAAGGTTGAATGGGTCTGTTTTCACAAGCAACTTATTGGAAATCAGATCAAATCCAATTTATTTCCAGATGAGTTGCCTCAGGCATGACTGACTCCAGGTTACAATGGGTTATACTCAGTGAATTCAGGGAGGAAGCAAATTCTTCCATTTCTCTTTTAATGGCAATATTTCTGAAAGTCAAGTCTTTCCCATCCAGTACCTTCTGCCTTCACACTCACACATGACCCAGGATCAGACATTAGATTCATATACGCAGTAGCTGAGATCAGCAGCTTTTAGTCATAAATATTAAAGCATTTAAATAAGGTCAGGGCTGGGAATGTAGCTCAGTAGTAAAATGCTCACCCACATGAGCATGTTGTGGGGTGGATCCCAGCACTGTAAACAAACAAATAAGTCTAATTAGGAATTATGACTCTCCCAGGAAGCAGCCCCATTATAAACTTAATTACCATATATGATCATTGTATGAGGGAATAAAATTCCACATTGTTGACAATGCGACTTTACATTTACAAAAGGAACCAGAAAAATAAGGATGACCTGTGTTCTGGTTAGATTTTCTGTCATCTCAACACAAATTGGAGGGGAAGAGGAACTTCAGCTGAGAAAATGTCTCCACCAGGTCAGCCTGTGGACCAATCTGTGGGGCTTATTTTGATTGATGATTGACGTGGGTAAGCCCCGCCCACGGGGGGGGGCACTGCCCCTCCTGGGCAGGGGGTCTTGAGCAGTATAAAAAGCCAGCTGAGTGAGCTGTGAGGAACAAACTAATAAGCAGCTGTCCTTCATGCTGTCTGCTTTGGTTCCTGCCTCCAGGTCACTGCCTTGAGTTCCTGTCCTGACTTCCCTTCATGATGGACTGTGAGCTATAAGCTGAAATAAACCCATTCCTCCCCAATTTGCTTTTGGTCGTGGAGTTTTATCACAGAAATAGAAACCTAAGGTATGTTCTTAGATTCTTCTCTTCCTTCAGATTTTAAAATGTCCGGAAGTTCTATGACTTCAAGCTCACCATGTTAGGTATGTAAATGCCTGTACATACATCCTGTGATAAAAAGATACCAGGCCCACCTGGAGGAGCCAAGACTGCGCATGTCTGTGGTCTTCCCGGGTGTTGCAATGAGGAGACCTGATACAGAGTCCTAGCTACTTGGGGCTGTAACAACAGACCGGCTGTAAGAAGTCATTTGTTTTCACCTCTCTTCGAGCTACCCTGCTTGGACCTCCCTACCTGTCCGTCCCTCCCTGATTCATCCCATCTCCAACACGTGGGCCTGTGACACTCACAGGTGTCCCTTCCAAATCTCGGCCAGCCTCCCACTCCTCCTATTCCTCTTGATCCCTCCCACGCCTGGATTTCTGAGGGAAGTTAAGTACCTTGGAAACATTAGCAAGCATATTGTGAAAAAGACTGAGGACGAGAGCAGTACGTGAGGCGCAAGTTGATGCAGCCTCGGGGAGGTGTCGGGTGGCCTCTCGAATATTAAAATGGCTGTCGAGGTGGTTTAATGGGTAAAGGTACTTTTTACACAAGCCTGGCGATCTGAGTTCGACCCCTAGAACACACATAAAGGAGAGAGGAAAATGCTGACTCCCAGAGTTGTTCTCTGGCCTCCACATGCACGCGCGCGCGCGCGCGCGCGCGCGCGCACACACACACACAAAATAGTAGCATAAAAATTTAAATATAAAAAGCATATACCAGGCCAGGTGTGTGTGGTGGCGTACAGTTTTATTCCCAGCACTCAGGAAGCAGAGGCAGGTGGATCTCATAAGAGTGTGAGGCCAGCCTGGTCTA